AAATCAAAGTATAATTTTGTGGTTTCTAATGTAATTGATTAATGAACTACTTCTTTCGTTCCTTTTCATAAGAAGCAAATTAGTCAAAGACTAATTACTTCGATGCTAATGCCACCCGTTATGTTTGAATGAAGTCCTGAGTTTGAATTCATTATTGACATGTTTATGCGCACACATGTTTAATTGTATTATATATTAAAAAAGGAACAAATTAGAATATAATTACGTTCTTTATTATAAAAAACAGTTTGTTTTTATTTAAAACATTTACTGCTGTTTCTTTTATTGATGCCCTTATTAAAGAGAGGAGACGTTCTCTCATATTACCAACGCAAGAGCTACTAGGATTAGAGAAGGGAGATTTTCTTAAAGGAATTATTGGGAAAAAATTTTTTTGCACAGCTACACATTTGGATCTTATAACTAAATTAACATATTTTATGGCATTGAGAAGGTAGGAGTATGTATTAGTGGAAAGGAAGAGACTGAGTATTATTATAACAATAGCATTAGCAAACCAAGCTTATGTAATAAAGAACAGAAATTAATACATATATGACCTTGATCAAAAAATCACTTTCAATATATTTCAGACAAACCAAAAAAATTTTTAAATTGCATTAACTCTTCTTTAAAATATAACAACTTTTTAATTTTACCTCTATTGAACATATATACCTTTGGGAAAAAAAATAACTATTATAAATGGAGAGCAAAATAGTATATTCATACTAAAATTTAATTAGATGACTTATAAATAGAACTAAGAAAAGCTCTCTTTCTACCTTATAAATAGTATCAGAGAAGTAGATTATTAGAGTATCCAAGTTATAGCAATAAAAAAAAGGGAAGAAATACCAATGATACTCATGAAGGACATTCTTCAGTTACAATTTTTTAAAAGCACCCACCCAAATGGCCCAATACCTTTTACGGCCCAGGACGAGAGGCAGTTGTCTGCCATGACTACAAAGGGTATTCTTGTTCACTCAAATACATTTTTACAACGTAAAAGAACCTTGCGTCTTTAGAAGTATCTTAAAAACCAACCACTGCCTTTAATTGATCACGTTCCCCCACCCCCCCCCCCCCGGGGGGGGTGAGCAATCGCTGATATTTGCCCTGCTATTTGGCCAACACTTCAAGCAATGGAAAACCACCATTTAAGAAGGCGAGGCATATATTTTTGTGTAAATCACTTCACTTTTCATGCCACAAAAAGTGCCGTACTCAGGTCAGAGGATGAACACACATCTGCCTCTAAAAGGCTCACAAATAACCCTGAAATAAGTGTGCACAAATATCAGAGATCGTAAACAAATAAGATAATCTGGAATAAATGTTTAAGAAAACTAGTATATATTATTATGATTTGGCACAAATGTGCAAGATTCCACTCAATCGTTCATGTTAGTCTATGTTAGATTTCAGAAAAGTTTTGATCCTGTGAGCCTCAACTGAGAAAGCCTCTTGGCTGGCTGTGCCACCCCCACCTTCGTCATCAAAACCACCATTGTTAGCATTCAATGTCCGTATCAACTCCCGAGGACCCTGACCTATGGCTGAGTTTTCTTCCATCACACTCTGTGCTTAGTTCTCTTCCTTGGAAGTCAAAACAGATGCAACATCAGATATTGAGGAGACCCTATCTGCTATACCCAGCCCTTTGCCGACGGGTTCTGTTGGACACAAACTATCACCCACAGCATCATTAAAACCACCAGCAAAGTTTCATTGTTGCCTTTGTCAACATTAACACCAGCATCATTGTAAGTATCACCGCTTTCCATTACCATTGTTGATGTGATCATCACTATTGCCGCCGCCGCCGCCGTCATCACACCCACTGTCCTCATCAGAGAAGATATCGTAGAAATCATCATGGTCATTTGGTCAAATATGGGAACCCTTAGAAATCAGTTCCCTCCTGCCGAAGCAGTCCCTAGAACCTGATAAACCATACTTATCGTATCAACAATTCACGCGATACAATTGCTGTTAAATTCATGTTTTTCTCCAAACCTACTGCTAGCCTGTCTAACAGAAGCATCGCCATTCATAAATGCACTCATGTAAAGTAGAGGTTTTCCAACGCCATGAAGCACACTTTTTTATTATTTCCCAAGCACTCCAATTCAATATTAATTATCACTCTTTAAATTGCAGGATTTTATATTCTCACTTTACAAAATGTTCTTGGACAATTCTTGAACTTCACATTGCATTTCACCAAAAAACCATTAGCTCCTCTAAATTTTTAATTGGATCTATTATAGATAGTTTCTTTTAATTTAGTCTTTCCTTCGATGAAATCCTGTGGTCATTATAGATGTATGAAAAATGACATTCCATAACTTTTATTAAAAAAATATGTAATTATTTTTTCTTTTGGATTTTAAAAACAAATTTTATTCAATAAAAAAAAAAGAGAGAGAATACGACTCTTAATAACTAACGCATTTCACATTACTTCTAAATGTATATGTTTTTGCTTGTATCAATGCAATTATATTTAGTTGGCACTATTTTGATTTCATATTTTTTTAATTATTTTTTATCCTTGTTTTTAATAAATATTATCAAACTAATTTAATGAACAACTAAAATTTTACTATTATATTAATCTAATAAATATTTGAATATATAATTTAACAGATATTAATATAAGGTATCAATGGGCCCCCCTCCCCAAAAAAAAGAAAAAAGAGACAAAACACAATTTTCCTGCTTTTGCCCCTGTCCCCCATCATAGAAAATTTTGGGTCTTACGTCCAAAAGAATGACTTTCTTAAAACGGTCCCATATCATTTTTAACTTCAAGGATTTACCTAAACAGTTTTTTCTACACAATGTAGTGTTTCACACACATAACAGGCATTATGCCGCATAAAATCATATCTTGGTGTGCTTAACTTGAAATAATTAGCTCAAGAAGATATTTCATACCTGCTCAATGTTTTTGGGTAAACTAGCTTTCTCAAAGGCCTATGGTGTCCATATCTTGACGTCATGATCATATCCACTGCTCGCAAGAACCATTTTATGAGGATGAGATTCAATGCAGTCTGCCAAATGCTTATCAGTTTTCATGACACGAATAAGCTTTCCACCTTTCTTTCTCCAGATGAAAATCTGGCCACAGTCTGAGCCACTAGCCACATACTCACATTTAGGCCCCAAAAAAGTAACATCCTTCACTGTCTTCGAATTTGTATGGCCCATATAAACTTGAGGAGTCATTTTCTCGCGCATATCCATGTTTGATAGAGATTCTGCAGAGCAATGCTCAACTCCCATTTTACTTGCATAACTGCTCATAGAAACCAGGGACTGAGGAGCTGGGTTGAGTCCCAAGCCCATATCGTGGGTAAAAAGATAGATGAACTCATCATTGTAGGACACGAGCAACTCACTCTTTTTGGAAAAGGCTAAGCTCGATATTTGAACTCCCACATCACCAATCAAGTGTGAAGGGCAAAATAAGTCAATAGGTTGACCAAAATCAGGTGATCCATCCCATTTGTACTTGCGAATGTGATAAAGTTGAGTATACTCATCTGACCCAGCAACCACCAAGTGGTATGGATTCCTTGGATCAATTGCAATTGCAGTTAGATTGATGACTGGCATGAAACTCCTTCTATCTTAATCAACTGGCTGGCAAGTAAAAAGTTGTGTTGCAGCCCCACTTCTCAGATCAAACTGTAATGTTTCCAAGAGCCACTTGAATATGCAAATTCAATTCTAAAATTAAAATTTCAAAAAGCCTACCCACAGCAAGATATAGGCGTCAACAGTGGACTTTCCATTTAAAACAGTACATGCATCTTAGAGATAAGAATCAACCAGTCATCCGATTTACAAGTTTAGGATTTTCATCTAAAACAACAGAAAAGGAAATAGCACCGAGGGCTTCCCAATTGAAGCCCATACTGAATGAAATAAAAGATAAAAAATTAAAATAAGAAAGGGCAAAGAAGATAAATAACTCACATGTTGTACTAATCCATCTTCACCACAAGTATATAATATATGCGGGCTACCAAGGTCAATTGCCAACTTATAAGCCCATCCTTCATGTTCGCCTAGTAGCTTAGTTTTGACTACTCCACACTCCTGAATTAGTGCATGTATCACCTAAAATTGAGTATCCACTCATAAGGAATCAACCTTTTCAAATGAATAACATAAAAAGATTCATAAATATTAATAACAGCATAGAACATCATAGCCATCTCAATTTTCAAGTGGATAAACAAATACGGTCACACACAAACCCCCGGTCCTGTAAGGCTGTAACCATATCATACTTTTCTGGTGCGTAAAGATGAAATACATGCATAAGTTAGGGATACCTGCTAACCATTATAAGATAGTGCTCCTGATATGGCCTGTTCAAATGGAAATAGCCTGGTCTTTTTCAAAATGTAACAGATATGACAGAAAGGACAGAATGGAAATGTTCACACGCATAAATCGGATGCTAGTCTTTCCACAATGTCACAGAATATGAAAGGGAATACCTGTCCATCAGCACCACAAGTCACAATGCTTAGATCATCTGAGTGGGGCATAAACTTTGCTTGGAAAACATTTCTCGTGTGACCAGAATGAAAAGACAACTTCATATGCCCAATCTCCCAGTCCCAGAGGATAACTCTCCCGTCATCAGATCCTGACACCAATATGTCACCATCTTCATTGAAGGCCACACTGCTAACAGAACGTCTCTGCTTTTCCAGCTTGCTGTGTAAATCAAGTTGAAGGACAAGACTCTAAAACATGACATTGATTAGTTCAGAGCTTTGACTCTCTGAGTTTCTGAAATTAGAAGCGTATTCTTTTTCATCCCCCACCTCTCTCAAGGGGGCTCTTATTTGAACGGATAAGTAGGAAGGTAAAATTCAGTGTCACAACAAAAGTGAAAGGAACTGCATGGTGACACAAATTTTATATGGTAATAACATAAAAAGGTTTAGAGTCATATGAGAGGGAAAAAGGAAGAAATAACTGTCATTAAAATTAAAATGTTAATTTCAAACGGTAATAACATTGAAAATTTGCCAGTCAAATGACTAGATAGAGAAAGAAAGATCTGTCATTAGAATTGTCAAGTCTATTGTGACGCAACATCACAATAGTTAGTCCACAAATCTCAATCAGAATGGAGGACCTGATAGCCCACTGATGAGGCATTTCGACAAAATGGAGTCTTCCTGCAATAAAGAACTATCATTGACAATTGGAAGAATCTACCCAACTATAACCTGTTTGCTTCTTGATTGATCTTCTTTCCATTGACACTCTCACTTTCTCTGCATCATCCCATTGTCCTAAATCAGCATACATATTATATAACAATACAAAAGGAGCTGAACTTTTTGGTTCAAGCCTGATCAAAGCTTCAGCTGCTACTTGGGCTAATTCTACATTATTGTGGACTCTACAAGCACCTAGGAGTGCACCCCACACGGCGTTATCTGGTTCAAATGGCATATTATTTATCAAATCTAAAGCTTCCTCAAGTTGCCCATGCCGACCCACAACGTCCACAAGGGAGGCAAAGTGCTCGACTCGTGGTGCAATACCATATTCATTAATCATGGAATGGAATTGCCTCTTCCCTTCTTCAACCAAACCTACATGGGCACATGCATTCAAAACAGAAACAAATGATATATACGTAGGGTGAACTTTAGACCTCTTCATTAATTCAAAAAGCTCTAGAGCCTCTGCAGCAAAGCCATGGGATGCATAGCCTCCGATCATTGCATTCCAAGAGATTACATCCTTCTTTAGCTCCATGTCATTAAATACATTACGTGCCTCAATAATTGCTCCACATCTTGAGTACATGGTGATTAGGGAATTGTTTATTGGCACATCTGGAATAAAAGTCTTTGTGACAAGCTGGTGTACCTGCTTACCAAGGTAAAGATCCACCAAACCAGTAGAGACGCTAAGGACTGAAGATAACGTGTGTCTATCTGGTCTGTGTCCTTCAAGTTTCATCTGTGAGAAGAGCTTAATGGCACCCTTATAGTCTTCATTTTTCTCATAGCCTGCTATTATTGAGTTCCATGAGATCAGGTTTTTGTGAGGCATCCTGTCAAAGAAATCTTTTGCAAGTTTTAAATCACCTATCTGCGCAAACCCAGATATTATTGAATTCCATGAAAATGTGTCAGGATTTGGCATCTTACTAAAAAGGGTTGAAGCCTCTTCCATAGCTGAAATTTGAACATAGCCATTGATCATGGTGTTCCAAGAGAAGGTATCTCGCTCTACCATTTGATCAAAGAGATCCCTAGCAGAAAGAATATCACCCACTTTCACATAGCACATCATCATGGAATTCCAAGAAACCATATTTCGTTTAAATTTATTTTTACCTGCATCTGTTTGACCTTGATAATTTGGTATATGATCAAATAGGCGTCGAGCTTCTTCCACCCTCCCTTTTTGGCCATAGCCAGCGATCAGGGTGTTATAGGCATGTACCAAATCTTCTTTTCCTTCATCAATATTGCCATATTCATGCAGAATTCTAGCAGCCACATCCAATTCACCATTTTGAATGAGTCCTGATATAAGTGCACTAAGAGATGCTGAATCACGCCTAGGCATCTTCTTGAAAAATTCAATTGCCAGAGCCACATTACGATTCAATAAAAACCCAGTAATAATAGCATTCCATGACACAATGTTACGTTCAGGCATTCTATTAAATAGCTTCAAAGCCTCGTCAATCCTCCCATTTTTTGCATATCCACTAATCATGGTATTCCATGAAACACAATCTCTTTCCGGCATTTGATCAAACAATTTTCTTCCCTCCTCAATGTACCGACTAACGTGACATGATATGTAGCCTGATATCATCAAATTCCAAGACACAATATCCCTCTCAGGCATTTCATCGAACAGCTGACGTGCCTTAGCCATCTCTCTCCGTTGAACATATCCAGTAATCATTGAGTTCCAAGTAATGATTTTCCGCTCACTCATGGAATCAAACAAAGCTCTCGCTTCATTTAATCTGCCAGATCGAATTAAATGGGATATTTTTTTGTTTAACTGGTATATTTTTGGTGTTTGGGAAAAGCTCCTGATTAAGGAAGGTAAGCCACAATAACAGAGGAATATATTGTCATGGTTAAGCCTATTTCTTAGGGTAGGCATACAAGGAAGCAGAGGTAATTTGCTCAGTTTCATTACAACCCTAAATAACATTGCCACAATGCTCGGCAAGCACCAAGGTAGGCAGCGAGCAGCAATGCAGGTATATCCAATCTAAGTGAAGATGAAGTAGAAGTACAACAGATGTGCGCTACACCTACAGCAAATAAGGTAAGACAATGCGAGTCCAGTACTATCAATATATTAATACATCAAGGGACAAACTGTCATTAAAAGTGGCACGTCTATTGTGGCACAATTTCAAAATAAATTAGTTCAAAAATCTCAACCAGCTCTTGAAGTGACAAAATTGCTTCTAATCCAAGTTCACTGCCCAATGAGAACGGAGCAACTGCATGAATTTTCCCAAAACCAAAATTTGGTATCTTTATATAAGATAGCTTGTTAATGGAGAAGAGAAATGAACTTATAATACTGATACATAAGAGATACTACTAGTTGAAATAGTTTTATCGTTTTAAAACTACTTTTTTATCTCTTCTAGAGGATATTCGATTCACAAGCAAATAACTAACAAGAAAAAATGCGAGCATGATAGTAAAAGGGAAGCCAACACTAGAGAATTATGGATAGTCAGACCTCAGAGACGCCGAGACTGTAAACGAAATTCCTGCCGGATAGTTCGCCGACCTCTCGCTGCCAGACATCGACCACTGCGTTGCCGATGCTCGTCCTCGGCATCCTATTCATCCTCTGCACCATAAGACAAGTTGAGTAAGGAATTTTTGCCATTAATGCAGTAACCGATTTTATGTATCAATGAAATTACAACCAAGAAAAAAGGAGGAAACTGAAGCGGAAAAGACGAACCAACCCAATGGATATGGGATGTCAGAGGTCGATTAGTTGAAGGTACTATAGAGAGACATCTACAAGGTGAAATCGAAAAATCGAATTATTGTGAGATCTCCACAAATGAATAAGTTTCTACAGAGTTGAATTACAGCCAACAACACGAGCAACACAGCCGTGGCCCTTATGACGTTCTCTAATATCTATCTTTCTGTAGTAAGAAGTAAGAACAAAGAACTCAAGCTGCTGGGTGTGACAGGAGGAGAAGCGGCATCGGGAGGGAAGAGGTACAAACTATAGTACTATGTGCAAAGTGGTTAACGCGAGAACTGTCGGGTAGAGTAAGATAGTTATAGGAAAAATCACAATTAAATATCCTAGAATTTGAAAAATACAGACAGAAACACGTGATAATTTCACTCTGGCTTTTGATAAGACTGCACATGGATAGGGCTGAGCAGGACAGGACCCTTACTCGATGCCCAACCCGAAAAATGAATGGGCTGGAGCCCGTTGCTGGCCCTATCCATGAAAAGCCCTAATAAATTTGGGCTGGGCAGGACAGGCTTCTATACCTAACAAGTCAATATACCATATTAATTAACTAATTATTTATGTCCCTCTAAATAATGTAATGTAACTTTATATTAAAATGGAAACTTGGCTTTAATTTTGTTATTACTAATTAATATACTATGAAATTACTTTTTGTAGTAGCTAAGAAGAGTGGACTATGACAAAAAAAACGTTATTAGTATATTTTATTAAACTTAATTATTTTTTTAGTTTCTAACTCTCAAAATCATTAAAAAATAAATAACTATAATGAATACTGAATATTGATACAACAATGTATTTGATTTAGGAAATAAATATGAGGCAAATAAAATATATATAAATAAAATTATATATATTTTGCGGAAGGGCCAAATGGGCATAGCAACATACCATACCCGATGCCCAGCCCTGTCCAACAGTTTGCTCAACTCAAATATGCCCAATAGTTCTTTTGGGCCATTTTTTGAGGACGGTCTGGGTATTTTTTTGCGGGCTTGGGCGGGCATAGCAAGTAACTGGGCTTCATGAACACCCCTAGCTTTTGGCAATAATATTGCTATAGTGAAACTATCATGGATCCTTATCTACGTTTTTTAAATTCTAGAGTCTTTTTTTGTGATTTTCCCATAGTTATATGCAATAAATAAATACAATTCTTAATATAGGTTTTAATTATTGAGTTTATTTTGATTTTAAATATAAGATCTATTTTTTATATTTATCAATTTTTTAAAATTATCTTTATGGATCTCCCTCAACAATAATCAAGTAGAAGAAGGAGAGAGAATATTAAGGAAGATGATTATGATATTTTAGAAAAACTATGTTATATTTCTTATAATTAACTAATTTGTCTTACTTTCTTAATCTAATCAAATTAGTTAAATAAGTTTTATATTAAGGACCGGATAAGTATTATTTTTTTAATAATATTTTTGCTAATTATATATATTAGATAGAAATATTATCTGATATATGCAACTACTATAAAAATTATTTAAAAAATAAATAAATATAAAAAATAAAGTAAATTAACGTGTTATATTTAAGATTAAATTTAATATCAAACTAATTCTTATAGTATTTTATTTAACCGGAAAACAACACATTCCAGTGTCTTTCTTTCTCATTCTTGCCTATCCCAAAAAGAATTAAATTAATAAAACTTTTTACACTTATGTAAAAGTTGAAAAAATGTTATACATTTCCTCTTATTTATTTTTTTATATTCAATAGGAGTAAAATTAAAAAAAACTAATTATTTATAATTAACTTATATTTAAGAACAATATTTTTCCAATAATTGACTTACATAAAAAATGCATTAAATTAATAAACTTTTTTTACACTTGGGATGTTGAAAAATAATAAATGGTATATATTCTCCTATCTGTTTTTATTATATTCTTAGAAGTAAAAATTAAAAAATACCATTCATTACTTTACAAATGAGTTAAATAAGTGAGTTACACATAATAATATAATACTAGTCCTAATTATAAGAGTTAGTTGACTAATTTGAGGAAGGAAATAAGTTAAGTTAGTTATTTATAATGAATAAGTATTATCTTTCTTAAAATATCCTTACTAATTAAGTATATTAGCTAGAACTATCATTGTTAGAAGGAATTTTTTGGAAAAAAATGTATAAATATGAGAAACAAAGTGAATTAAGGTCTTATATTTAAGACCAAAATAAAAATCAAACAAAGTCTTATATTAAGAACCGGAGGTAGTAGTATAACAATACTAGCCCACAAAGTCAAAAGCAACATCTAGAAAAAGCAACACAAATCAACCCACTCCTAACTCCTAAGGTCACTTCTATAGTTGAAGCACCTAAACAGCATAACAAAATTTTAATGGTGCACGTGCACCAACAATTTTTTCCATAAACATAGGTATTGTCTTATTAAATATAATCCTGTTTGAAATATTATCAAACACTAAATGTAAGTATTTTTTTTAATAAGAATTTGAACCTTAATTCATCATATTGTGAGAAATATACTCTAACATTTAATACATAGCAACGGTCTTTAAAATATTATAACCCCAAGTTAATGAGGAATAAAACTTAAACAAAAATATAATTCAATTCTGACCAATATTAGAAGTGTAAATTATTGGTTATTTTCTGGGATTATTAGATTTTATTGAAGTAAATAATAAGATGGAAAAGTTAGGAAAATATAATAAGATGGAAAAGCAAGATTAGAAATATTAAATCATGCTTAGATTTGATGATAATATTAGATCTCAAATAGTCATATACGTAATTCTTTAATTTCTTTTGAGAGAAAAAGCATCATCTATCTAATATATATGACAATATTTCGAATAAGATTACTTTTAATAAGAAATAAGAAAAATTACAGTTAAAGATCCTGAAATTTAAAAAACACAGATAAGGACCTGTGATAACTTCATTATGGGTTTTCACAATTTCATAACATATTATTATTGTCAAAAGTCATAGTAAAGTTATCATGGGTCCCTATCTGTGTTTTTCAAATTCTAGAGTCTTTTTCTGCGATTTCTCCTAAGAAATGTATATACTCGGTAAAAAATATATGAAAAACTATTTATGTATATAGCATTATTAATGATCCTTAAACATTACAAATGGATATTCAAATTAGATTCAGATTACTTTATCCAACCAAAAAAACTCAAATCCAACCGTATATATCAATATCATGAACATATCAATAATCAAGATCTAACATATAAAGAGGTTCACATTTTATCAACACCAAACCATATGTAGACTATTAACATAATGAATATAAAAAATTTAACCGACATATTATCCTTTATTAATTAATAACTTATAGGAGTACTTTTCATGGATTATGGTCAATATCATGTAACATATACTATTAAACTTAAGTACCTATATAAATATATATATATATATATATATATATAAAGAGATACTGTTTAGATTTTGCAGTCGATATAACTGAAGGTGCATAACTATATATAGCTTCAATCCTGGAGTGGTCATGTTTTCCATCCTCGTTTTTCCTTCTTATCCTCCATTTTGTTAGCTTTCTTCGTACTCTGTATCGCTTTGGTGGATATCCTAAAACTAGGAAGATGAAAGCTCTGAAAATTTTATTGCTTCTTTCTCTGCAAGTCTTTGCGTGTGCCGTGGTATAATAGCTGTCCCTTTTGCTTTTCATGGTCAAATTTGTGCATTTGCACGTTTGGTTTCTGGACCTAATGTGCGAAATCTTTTTCTTTCCTGTTCTTTGTTTCGCGAGCAGATTGCCGATTCGCAGACTTGCCCTGCCATGAATAGTGATAGCTGCGGCGATGGATGGGAAGGGGAATTCTTTCCCGGCATTCCCCAAATTAAATATGAGGTAACCTTAATTACTTATGATCTATTATGATAATAACTTATCAATTTATGTACTCGTTAAATGTAGCTCCTTTGATCTTCTCATAAAAAAATACTCTCCCACACTACAGTTTCTGTATTTTACACCCTAATGGAATTATCGATGTGTCTTTTTGCATATATTGAATAACAGGGCCCCTCCAGCAAGAAGCCACTTGCATTTAAATATTATAATTCGGAGGAAGAAATTCTTGGGAAGAAAATGAAGGTTGGTTTCCCCATAATTTCAACTTTTTTCAATAATCCAGTAGATATTGGCCTCGAACTGAAATCACTGTTATATCTGCAGGATTGGTTTAGATTCAGTGTTGCATTTTGGCATACATTCCGGGGAACAGGTGGTGATCCATTTGGTGCGGCTACAAAGTTTTGGCCCTGGGAAGATGGTACCAATTCATTAAAAATTGCCAAAAGAAGAAGTATGTTAACCCTGATTGATTCTACAAATAATACTCTTCAAATTATAAAAGTTTAACACTGAGGGTATTCTTCTGATTGATCCAGTGAGAGCCAACTTTGAGTTCATAAATAAACTTGGAGTGGATTATTGGTGCTTCCATGATAGAGATATTGCCCCTGATGGTAAAACTGTGGAGGTGAGTCAACCTTGGGTTTCTGTATGGTCATTTACATGAATTCATTGGATGCTAATATTTTTGAATTTTGCAAATTCTGATTCTACAACTTCAATAAGAGACTTTGTTATTGTAATTTGTTCTGAAATAATGGTTGACTTTTTTTTTTTTAATTAAAAATGGGGTTATAACCTATAGCCAACCTTGTGGGACTGAATCCACGACCACCCTATTTGTTTAACACACAAATTAAGATATATGATTAACATGCCAGAATATTTTCAAATTTTCTAATATGCCCTTAATTCATTTTATCTATTCTCTCCATAATTATCTTTTCTTTTACTTTATAATTGAATTTGGTGAAGATAAGAATAAAATTGAAAATAATAATAATGTTGTCTTAAACTTTTAAAATGATAGCTAAATAGGGGGAAAAAAAAAGTTTCTTCAAAAGCAATAGTTAAAAAAGAATGGAGGCAGTAGCTTATTGATGGGAATATAGATTTTTCAGTGATCTTTAAATCCACTTGCTCATCCTTTGGATGGCATATCCTGTGTTCGTTACAGGAAACTAATGCAAACTTGGATGAAGTGGTGGCCCTTGCTAAAGAGCTTCAGGTAATAAGACATAATAAACCAGTTTATATTTTTTTAACTTTTAGCACAAAATCCCAGAGAATACTGGTCTTGTTTCAAGATCATGTTCTTGTTGGTCAAGTATAACCCCAATCAGTTTGAATAAATAAAGTAGCTTTCTAGAAGCACTCCTGATGTATGTAAAATCTGTGTTATATGACTAAACAGGGAAACAAGAAAGTTCTATGGGGAACAGCTCAGTTGTTCATGCATCCTCGCTATATGCATGGCGGTGCTACAAGGTAATTTATATTTGAACTGCGGTATATAATTTTTATGCATCATGCTGTTAACAATTTCATTTTTCCTTACAGCTCTGAATTAGGAGTGTATGCTTATGCTGCTGCTCAAGTCAAGAAAGCCATGGAGGTACTTAGTACATTTCTGTGTGAGCATTAATTAGCACGCGAGTTCAGTTCGCTTCTGGAAACTTTTTAAATTTCTCTGATGTTTACGCACTGCAGGTCACACACTATTTGGGGGGAGAAAATTATGTTTTCTGGGGTGGCCGTGAAGGTTATCAATCTCTCTTGAATACAGATATGGAAAGAGAGCTTAATCATTTGGTTAGCCTATTCTGCCTTTCAACTATTTTGATTATACTACCTTTTCCTTTTCTTGTTTGAGTAAATTGTTTGTCCTTAAAAGTAGAAAAACTTTTTATTCATATATAAAGAAATCCCTTGAAATAAAGTGGTCCACATAAAACAAAGCAATATATATTTTAAAGTTACTAGTTCTTGGTATTCATGTGCTTCTACCAGACATTCAATAGTATTTTATCTATAATAATTGGTTGCGTTTTTTTTTTTTTAAAACAACTATTTGTTTATATGCTTACAGGCTAGGTTTCTTGAATCTGCTGTTGCATACAAAAAGAAAATTGGGTTCAATGGTAAGTTAATATATGAAATACTCAATCACAAGTTGTGATTGGAATCGTATATGAGTAAATAAATTCTACAAACGGTGCTGTTAAAAAATGAGACTTTTATACTCATATTAATTCCTTCTCTGTTTTCTTAAGAAATGGCCCTTGATTAGTGATTTTGTTTTTTTATTGTTTAAGGCACACTGCTGATTGAACCCAAGCCACAAGAGCCTACAAAACACCAGTATGCTTTTCGCTTTTGTAATTAATTATTTTATTTTATTTTTGTTACATCTTCTCTGATATCTGGATTATGTATTCTTTCAGGTATGATTGGGATGCTGCAACCACAGCTAATTTCTTGCGAAAATATGGACTTATAGGTAATAATTAATATTATCCTCTTTTTAACTGCATTGTGCATGAACCTGAACTGACGTAATACAACTTGACTGCATAACTCTGTTTCTTTTCCTTCTGCAGATGAATTTAAACTAAACATCGAGTGCAATCATGCTACCCTATCTGGCCATAGGTGAATGAAACATTGTATTTTGAACTTATAGTAAGGTTTCTTCTCCTTTGCAAGTGTTACTAACTTTTGATGCCTTTCTAAATGGAAGCTGTCATCATGAGCTCGAAACCGCAAGAATCAATGGATTGTTGGGAAATATCGATGCAAATACTGGTGATCCTCAAGTTGGTACGTGTGTTTCTTTCTTATACAGTGGAACTTTCAACGTTGAAAAACAGACATCACGTTGAGATGTGCCAGGATAGCAAGTTAAAAGTTGTTCTATTTACACAGGTTGGGACACGGATCAGTTTCTCATAGATATTGGAGAGGCAACAAACATTATGCTCACTGTGATCAGAAATGTATGATATTCCTGCCTTTTAACCTGCATCACAATGTCCAACATACCTTGTAATTGGTAGTAATGAAATCTCATACCTCTGGTTCATAAATTTTGCCTGTTCTATCTTTGTCAGGGAGGAATTGCACCTGGCGGTTTCAACTTTGATGCAAAATTGTAAGCAGAGTTGGTCTATATTTTAAATATTTTGAAATTGATTGTGGTTATACACATGTAGTGTATAATAATGGTGGCTCTTTCATCCTTGTTTTGCTCAATCTCTTCATGGAACGTACAATATTGCAGGAGGAGAGAGAGTACTGATGTTGAAGATTTGTTCATTGGACATATAATTGGAATGGATACATTGGCCCGTGGCCTCAGAAATGCTGCCAAAATAATTGAGGTAATACATTGTTACTTACCTTGCACCTCTTTGAATTCTTTCAAGTCTTTGTTGAAACTCATCTTCAATTTTTCTGACAAATAATGAACCTTTTCTGTCATATTCGACTCTAGGATGGTTCCTTGGATGAGCTTGTCCGCAAGAGATACCAGAGTTTTGACTCTGAAATCGGTAGTATGATCGAGGTAATAACATCCAACTTTTCTTTCTTCCTCTCAGCATGAAATGTTTTCTGTCGTTAACCCAGTGATGATAAAACGTGTTGCCATATACAGGCCGGTAAAGCTGACTTTGAGTTCCTGGAGAAGAAAGTCAAGGAATGGGGAGAGCCAAAGGTTCCTTCTGCCAAACAGGTAATGCATAATAGCCAAAACTACTTTCTTTGCTTATGACTTACGAGTTGATCTGTACTAGCATTCTTCGTAGACCTGAGACAATAGTAAGAACAGTAAACAAGTTACTGGTCCTATGTTTGGGCAGGTCTAGCTACTCTGTTTAAATTTATTGATTCTTCTTTTGACAGTACTAAACTGTAACTGAGTTTATTTCATAATCTAACTAGCAAATGTCTGATATGTCTTTCTGCAATGTTGCAGGAGCTTGCGGAGTTGATCTTTCAGTCCGCTTTGTAGGAAGCCGTAGCATCATTCTTTCTTTCTTTCTTTTTTTTAATGGTTATTTTTCTAATATTTACGAGCAGTATGGGTGTATATGTCTTTCTAATAAGGACATTATGTGGTTGACAGTTTGTTTCTATCTTCCGCCATTGAGTAAAGAGTTATAACGAGTTTTTTTGTCCTCCTTGTGCTGGCCTATGTGAAACTCGTGTCTTGTAACTTCTATAAATATAATAGTAATATATAGATAGCACGGTATCATTGAGTTCTATCTAAAATCAAATTTTTAAATGTATTTTGAATTGAAAGGACTCCCCTCTACCTCTTTTTAGAGGGCTCTATGCCTCCATGCTTCTCACTGACGTATTCAAAAGCTTTTTGTAAATATACTAATAATAATATTCTTTTTAGTCTTATTAAAGTTTGAGACATTTATGATGATTCTAACTATAAAATCTTAATTTATTTGATTTTCTAAATTTATAATATTTTTAAACTATTCATATTGATTTCACGTGAGATTTTATTATTCACTTTAAAACATACCATACTCAAATATTTTCTAGAACAGATAAGTTCAAGTGAAAAAAAAATTAGTTTTTATTATTGTTTTGCTTGAATTAAAATATGATAAAGTGCACAATTTACTTTGATAACAAAATAATAAATATATATTTTATATAAATAAGATATATTTCAAATCAAACTATTGTGAAATAAATTATTGTAATAATAAAATTACTATAAATTAACCTTAAATCAATTTTCATCAAGCAAATGATCACCAGTACTGTTAATTAATTAATATAGAGCATAAGAAATTACAAGAGGTCGAAAATAATTATAAAAAATAAGAATATATTAGTACCTCCTATCTCTAATCTTAATATAAGAGTTAGTTTGACATTCAATTTAATTTTATATATAAAACTCTAATTTATTTTATCTCTTATATTTATTTATTTTTTTAAGGTAGTTGTTTTAGTAATTGCACATATTAAAAATTTTATAAAATGATAATTTTAATTAATATATATAATTAGTATTTATTATAAATTTATAAATACCAGGGACGCAGTATTAAAATGTTGTGATGGAGAGAGCCCCTTGCACTGTTGTACCCGTAGATATCTGCGATGGAGAACCAAACCAGGTGGCAGCCGCAGATGCGCTAGCCAGCAAATAAAACATCATGCGAAGGAGTTGCTAGACAGAAAAAAACAGAGCCAGGACTCTTCCACAGAGACATGAAATTGGACTTCAAATCGCTATGCTTAACCTCTCTGATCCTCTTGCTCATGAGCTGCCCTGCAAGTTCAACTTCAACCCCAACTCCGACGCCTTGGCCGGAGCAATTCCACGCGCTTCTGTACATGAACCTAAGCGACGCCCGCCTTCAACTCACTGACCTCTGGTACGATTGGCCCAAGGGTCGTAACGTCAACATAATCCGGAGGCAGCTAGTCGGCCACATCCTGTACGACGTCGAGTGGGACAACGGCACGTCGTATTACTTCACGCTGGGGCCAAACCCTACGTGCAGAGTGGTGGATTTCGAGGTTGGGATTCCGAGGCCAAATTTTCTGGACGACGCTAATTACCTTGGAACTCAGGTCACCGACGGCTTCCTCTGCCACGTGTGGGAGAAGGTCGACTTCATTTGGTACTACGAAGATGTTCTCACCGGAAGGCCCGTTCGCTGGGACTTCTACGACGGTATCGTTCGGAATTCCAACTTCACACAACCTCTTCTGGTTTTTTTTTTTTTTTTCTCTTGAAAGAAATAAAAAAAGAGTAATGTGGATTTATACAAAGGAATCACAGAAAAATACATTTCCTTTTTCAAGTTTCAAACAAGTTTTGTTTAAAAAGCCAATAATAGCGTATTGATTTGAGATTTTGAACTTTAGAGGTGTTTTTCTGAGATTTTTACTGGTATAAATGTGATTTTGCAGGAATATCGTCGCACGTTATAACCTATGAGGTTGGTGCCGTTTTGCCAGATTCAGTTACCCAAGCGCCTGCTCATTGTTTCAACCAGGACAAGCTTAAGTCCAAAACCACGTCGTTTAATAAGTTTGGGCGCCCTGATTTTGATTCATAGTGTAGAACGCAGATCATGGAATTCCATGTTCTTTGCCAGAACTTTTAAATGTAAGCAGACATGTTATATTTTTCAGCATATTATATGTAGATGCGGACGTACCAAAGGAGACTAATTTAGGAGTGGTAAACCAAATTCTCCCTATTCGTCCTCCGGGGAAAAAAACAGGAAACATGTTTTTGATTTGGATAGTTGCTGAATTGAACCTGAAATTTGTCTAGAAAATTAGTTACAATTTATTTTCATATATAAAAAATTGAATCTAATATGGTTTTAATCATGTTTAAAATTAAAAATACTTATATATAATTAAAGATATGTTGTGTGTAATTTAAAAAATTATATTTGCTGGAAATGATTCACTCAATTTAATTTGCGGGGAAAAAAATCATTTTAGGTAGGTTCTTCTGATTAATAATCATGAGCTTGGCATTGAAAGGTGAGAACCCATGGTGAAGGGCTCAATGACCGTAGAAACGAGTTGTGTGGGGATTAATCTGCTGGTACCTGCCACATGTCAGAGCTGTTAAGCTACGTTTGTGTGATTTGCTTGACTTGTATTTGGTTGGAACTTGGAAGTGAATGAAGCGATTGCGATGAGATTTTAATTAGATTAATTTAAGAACATAAATAAATAAATTTATAAAGTTTTTAAGGGAAAAACGTTTAATAAAATAATGATAAAAATTAATTAGAAAGCATTTTTTTCCATATTTTTAAAATTGAACTTCTTAAATTTTTTTTTTTTGGTCTTCATTTTTCTCCAACCAAATATATTTAAGAAACAATGGCGAACTATGAAAGGAGCAAAGAAGAAAAATCAAACCAAACTGAAACTTGCTCCCATCACTAACGTTATTAACATCATTACTTAAAAGACACGATCCCTTCTTGGATAATTTGTTTTTCCCCCCCCCCCTTCATATGTATTACGAGTATATAATGACACTCAATACCGTGCCATCCATGTTGATTCTATTTAGTAGGGTAAGATTTTGCTGTTATTAATTGCATATTAATAGCTAGATGACTGATTTAAGGATATAAAAAAATTAGTTAAGTTAGTTATTTGTAATAAATGACTATTATTTTTTCTAAATACTTTATTAATTATGTATGCAGAAACTACCTTTTAGTGAAAATTTCTTAATATGTGTAGTCATTATAAAATTTATATATAGGCAAAATGGATAAATATTATTGGGGTCTTATATTTAAAATAAAATTCAATCCATAACTAGTTTTTATTATATCAATTGCTAGAGATAACATATAATACCGCACACAAGCAATTTACTTATATATAAAGTGATGGGATTGTTGGCGAACTTTTATTCCAAGAGGAAAAACAAAGTCACTGGATAGAGAATAATTTTTTTTAATTTATCCTTGCATCATCGCAGTGAAAATAGCAAGAACAGTGATATTTCATTGATTCTTCTGAGTTTTGACACTGCTAACTCTAATTGAGCTTAATCGTTTGCAAAGTTGATCTTTCAGTCTGTTTTGTAGGAAGCCGAAGCATCATCATTTTTATAAAAAAAAAAACTATTTTAATAGTGATTTTCTTGTATTTACGAACAATACGGCAATCGAATACGCGCCACCTCCCCACTCCTTGGTCTCCTTCAAAGCAGATGTCATTATCTTTTCCTTAATCCAGGTACTCTCTCTTTCTCCACCATCATCAAACCAACCGACGTAATGAATAGGAAACCTGTTCTATTCAGGACACCAAGCTGTGCTCACTCTTCCTCCTCCATTCTTGCTAACCTCCCATGGAGATCCATCTATCTCTATGCAACTTCTGTGGCTTCTCCTTTTCCAATCTACCAATATACTTTTTTCATATGCAAACTAATCAATTCCATTCTTGTGCAGTATCGCGGTTTGCACTGGACCACACTCTTACTTCTAGTGTCATCGAGTGTGAAAACCTAATCAATTGACTTTTTTTTTTTGGTTGAAAAAACGAAACCCTATTCTACCTAAATAATCAATTCCCAACTATGACGTTGTACTTTGAATTATGCATCTCTTCTCCCCTCACCATCGTCATTAATCTACGTATGAACATTACAAAAAAACAGCGGATTAGCGACGGAAATTCCGTCGCTAATTTTTTTGACGGAATTGCGACGGACTTGTCACGGAATTTAGCGACGGAAACATTCCGTCACAAATTCGGTCGCTAAATGACGAATACTGACAGAATTTGGGACGGAATGTTTCCGTCGCTGGAAAAGAGAAAAATAAGAAGTCATAGAAGTTACGAAAACATCGATCGCAATGGGAGGTAAGCTGAACAAAAATGGAAGAGGAGAATGAGGATGCTATTACAACTACAAGAAGGAAATGGTGAGTCTGAACCAAAGTAAATATTCATGATGGTGGTCGAGATAACAATGGTGTTCACTTTGAAGGTGACGCATGGGAAGGAGGTGGTTTTTTTTTTTTTGGAATGACATATGAAAATCATTACCTCAAGGGAGAGGAAATAAACAAAATTACAGCAAGAAAGGAAAAACTTTTGAGAAAATCCCATATAAATACCATTTGAATTCTAAAATTTCATATTAGTCATTCTAATTTCACAAAGGACAAATAGGTCTAGAGATATTAAATTGGGATTTACAAATTTTAGCAAATTACCTCAATATCCTTTCTCTCATCCTTTTTTTCCTCTCTCTCACTTCATGTTCAGATAGCTCTTCTCTCTCTCTTTAGATCCTCTTCTTCTTTAAAGGGCAGCTGAATTGAAAGGCTAGTCATAAATTGTCAAAAGGTTCAGTGAAGAAGAAGAAGATGTGGTTTCTCCTACAGCGTTCTGGTATATTTCTAATGAATATTTCATAATGTTTGGGGTTTGAGACTTGGTATCTCCTGTCTTTTGTCTTGCCTTCTCAATCTCATCACCAACACTATGAGAGAGAGAGAGAGGGAAATAAATAAAGTTCAAAGAAGAAGTAGAGAAAAAACGAGGAAGAGAGAAAGGAAGAAGAAGCACCCATAGAATCAGGATATATATTTTTATGCAAGGTTTGAAAGTATATTGATTAACTTTTTATTATCTTCTAATAAAATTTGTTCTTAAAATCTGCTATTTTGTTAGTTTTTATTTTCTGCTATGTTCTATTAAATCAGGAATGAGTAATAAATTTTATTACTTAAGTGGCAAATTTCGATACTTAAGTAATAAATAGTTCTAGTTGGTTTGTGGTGAAATGACAACACTTATGATGTGAATCACTACATTTGTATTAGTAGTAATAACTTTTCCGTAAAGCCAAGAAGATTAACTGGTTATTGAAATTGAACTCATTTGTTAATAGAACTAATCAGATTTGTTATGATAATAACTACATTGTTGTAAAGCAAATTAAATTAAGTGGATTGTGGGATTTACTACACTTTGCAATGGAATTGACTATGTTTCTTTTGATAATGATTAGATTATTATGAAGAAAATATAGTATAGTAGATCACTATAAAGTCGTGTTTTTGCAAGAGGGAAAAATGGTATTAGTAGGAGAGTCAAGCAAAGAAGTGAAGAGTGGACGCATATTGTTTCGAAAAGAATTTCCTAGGCCAAAGAAGAAGTTTAAGAAGAGTTTTGTATACACAAATACATTATCCAACTATTGTTATGATATTTAAGTTATGATTGTAGATAGAATCTGTTTACAAAAATATATTTAATCACTATTATAGATAGAATTTGTTTACAAAAATATATTTAATCACTATTATTGCACATTTATTGATAACAAGTACAAATTATGTTTACCTTGGGGTGTCGTTATAATGAAAGTAGCTTTTAACAGCATTTGCAAAGTGATTGACAACTTTTAAAATAAATATACCAATTTCCATATTGTGTTTCATAATCTCTTTATTTGTAACCATTTCTAATTCATTTACACACAATTTTACTAAATATATAACGAGAATAACAACTTGTGAAATAAAAATGACTATTTGTATAAAGAGTTTTACAATCTGTTATAAGCTATTTGCAGATAGTTTTACAAAACAAGTAAAAAGAATCACAATTTGTGTAATGAAAGCTGCCATTTACATTAGAGGATTTGCAACTTGTTTATTTATAACTATTTTTAATGCTTTTGCTGACAATTTTACTAAATATGTAACGAGAATAACAATTTACGAAATAAAAGTAGCTATTAACGTAATGAGTTTTGCAATCTATTTTAATCAACGTATTAGTATGTGAAAGTATTCAATTGCCTTTTCTTTTTCTTACTCCAAAGGCGTATTAGTCATTCTATCAAAATCTACACATCCCAAATTCATACCTCTTGTCTATTTGGTTATTTCATTTATTTGGATCACTTCTTATCTTTTTTAATCTCAGTAAGTATTTTTTTTGTCATCTTTCCAAAGCTTTTTTTATCACCGTCCATCTTAAAATTAGAGGAAAAACAGGGTGTGATTAAAAATGCAGTACTTCCTTTCAAAATTGTGAGACATTTTGACAAGGTAGTTGGCCTAGGCTATAGGTTATGTTTGATAGGAAGCATTGAAAATGAGGGATTCGGATTGTGATTACAATTAAAAAAATCTATTAAAAAAGTGTTTAGTATAAGAGATTGTTTGTTATATGGAATTAACCAAACCCATGTATGTGAGATTAGAGAATACTATGGGGGGAAGTAGTATTCCCCAATCTCACCTCTATGGATTTGTCTAATATTATATAATAAGTAATTACTCATGCTAAATACTATTTTAATGATTTTTTTCAATTCTAATTCCAATCTCAATCTCTCATTTTCAATGCTTTATACTAAACGGGACTATAGAGTTTTCAACTCTAAGTCCATAGAGTTTTCAACCAGGTGGTGAATTTAAAATTTGGTAAAATTATAAGGATTGATAAATTAATTATCCCTGATAATTATACAGATAATTATAACTTTAAAATATATTAAAATCCTGTAACGGAGAGATTGGGCAACGTAGATATTTGTGATAGAAAATCAAACCAGGTGGCAGATGCGCGCTAGAAAAGAAGAAAACATTATCTGAAGGAATTTGCTCACTGACGAGAGAAGAACTCCGTCCCAGCAATACACAGAAAAACAGAGCAAGGCCTGTTCCAGAGACATGAAAATGAACCTCAAACCGCTGTGCTTAATCTTTCTGATCCTCTTCCTCATGAACTGCCCGACAAGTTCAACTTCAACCCCAACTCCGACGCCTTGGCCGGAACAATTCCACGCGCTTCTGTACATGAACATTAGCGGCAAGCCCCTTCATGTCGCTGACCTCTGGTACGACTGGCCCAAGCGTCGTAGCTTCTACATACACCGGCGGCAACTAGTCGATGACCTCCTGTACAACGCGGAGTGGGGCAACGGCACGTCGTATTACTTCACGCTGGGGCCAAACCCTACGTGCAGAGTGGTGGACTACGGGGTTGGGATTCCGAGGCCCGATTTTCTGGTCGACGCTAATTACCTTGGAACTCGGGTCAGCGACGGCTTCCTCTGCCACGTGTGGGAGAAGGTCGGCTTCATTTGGTACTACGAAGATGTTCTCACCAGAAGGCCCGTTCACTGGGACTTCTCCGACGGTATTCTTCTTAATTCCTACTTCACACAAATTCTTCTTCTTCTTTTTTAATTAAATTCAAAAAACAGTAATGTGGATTTATATAAATGTGAATTTGCAGGAATATCGACACACGTTATAACCTATGCGGTGGTGTTTTGCCAGATTCAGTGGTTCAAGCACCTGCGCCGTGTTTCAACCAGGACAGGCTTCAGTCCAAGACCACGTCGTTTAATAAGTTTGGCTGCCCTGACTTCGATTTGAATTTGATTAAGGGTATGATTAGATTGGCGTTGGGTAAAACTGACTTCTAACCCAACTGACTTTTATAACTGAAGTTAGAGTAAAAATCAGTTAGTATAATGCAATTTATGTTTGGATAGATGCTTTTAAAAAGTCAGTTGAAAAAGTTAAAAGTTGTTTGAATGATTAATAAAAAAGTTAGTTTAGTTGTAAAATGACTGAAAAGGATATGGAGTAGTGTTTGAAATTTTATATTTTTAATGTGATAATAATTTAAAAAACACGTGAAATTATTATGATAAAATATAAATAATTTATTTGTAAAATTATAAAATAAAAATATTTGTTACGGAGAAAAATTTGAAAATATATTGTAGATAATTAATTAAATATACATAATGAACAAACATGAATATAAATTAAAATTTATTTGGTCTCTAATTAAAGTAAATAGAATCACATAACTAATTAGATCGTAAGCTTTGCACAATTTTTTCATAAGTCAGTTAGAAAAGTTGATCTAGATTGCGTTGGATAAGTCAGTTAGAAAAGTTACTTTTTTTCATAAGTCAGTTAGAAACGAAGCTTAATCCAAACAATCTTCTAAGCTGCAATAAGCCACAAACCTCAGTTTCATGCTTTTCCGTGTGCTTTTGACATTCCAAATGGCAATCCAAACGAGCCCTAAATAGGGTAGATCATAGAATTCTATGTTCCTGGCCAGAACTTTCAAAACCATGGTTTTGGGAAAAGCAGAAATTTTTTGCTTTTGGAAAAAAAAAAGGAGAGTGTGAGAGCCTATAGGATATGTATCTTTTTTTTTTTATAAACGTATTTTTTTATAAATATATTTAATCTTATATCTTATAAATATATATACATTTAATTAATTATTAATTATATTATCTTATGTATTATTAATTATGTTAATAAAAATATATTATTAACAATTTTATTCTTTCAAATTAAAATATATCATAAAATATATTTTTTCTGTAATTATCATATTAACTTATGTTTTTTTTAGTAATTTGTACATGTAAAAAGTGTTTCTGGTAACAACTATCCAAATACTCTCACTTCTCAGAATCACTTTTTCACAAAATCTATTCTTCAAAAAACTATTCTCCAGAAGCTATTCTCCAAATCATGGTTTAATTATATCCAAACATCCCTTAATTAAGGAGCGGTGAACCCATATCTCTTTGAACGATTGTATTTATATGCATCATACTTGTGAGGAAAAAAATAAAAAGAAGAGGAAACATGTTTTTGATTAATCATGTGATCGGCGCGCAGTAAAAGATGCGAGAACCCGTGATGGTCTCTGCCCATAGAAACGACTCCCATGTGAATTAGCCTGCGGGAACCTGCCATATGTGAAAGCTGATAGGTGGTGTTTGGATTAGGTTGGCTTATAAGATCTGTTTGGATCAGCGATTAGAAAAGTAACTTATTAGAAAAGTAATTTTTAAAAAAGTGAAATTGGATAAAATTAAATTGGATAAACTGAATTGTATTTGGATTGGAGTTTAGAAAAGTTAGTTTGTAAAAGTGAGATTGGTAAAAAGTTATTTGGATTATGATTAAGTAAAAATAAACTTGTTTATAAAATTATCAAATGACTATGAGTTTTAATAAATAATAAAACATTATTAAAAAAAATAATTTTACCAAATTTGTTTATATTTTCTTTTATTTTTATTATTTATTATAAGGACATATTTGAAAATAAAAGTATATTTCTAGGAGCATATTTAAAAACAAAAGTATATTTCTAACTTATTTATTACTTTCAACTAATTTTAACTGATTTTTTATCTACAAATTAGTTATTTGAGATTTATAATAAGAATCAAATAAGATAATAAATTTCTTAGTTTTTCTCTTTTCATGTTTCAAAAGCTATAAGCCATAAGCTATAAGTTATAGACCTCGTTTAGGATCACGTTTGGACCTCCCAATGTGCATTCCCACCTGACTTTTAACAGGCTGCGTTTTTCAGCATGTTTGGATCCATATTGAGGCAATCTGACTTCTGAGGTGTAGATGGACTTTTAAGAAAAGCTCTTTTTCGGTGCTTTTTTTTGCATGCCGCTGGCGTTGAGAAAACCGTTAGAATATTTATTAGGGTGTTAAAATTTTTTACCTACCTGACCCTGCATAATTAAATTTTTCTTATTTTAATAATTTTATTTTCATTACTTCATTTAAAATAGTCACATTATATATATAATTTCTTTCTAATAATAAATTAAATTTCTTTACTTTTAATAATTTTATTTTCCTTACTTCTTAAAAAATAGTCACATTATATATATATATATATCTAATATTAGATATGTACTATTTAATAAAATTTATGTCCTTTTAAGTCATTTTATATTCAAATTTACTTTTACATTTATCATTCAAACAAGTTTTAGCTTCTCAAACTGACTTTTTTCCAAAATCCAATTCAAACATAAATCACATTATCCTATCTAACTTTTACTCAATCTGACTTCTGTAAAAGTCAGATTGAAAAAAAGTTACTTTTGTCACCGCTATCCCAAACACACTCATAAGCTGTTAATTTTAACTTATAGATTATTGTAGCTTTTTATACAAAACTCATATTGTCGAATCGCTAAGCAAAACAGCACAAATTCTTCACTTGGGTTTACGCTTAAAAAAAAGCTACTTATTACCCTCCAAACACTTGGCTAAACTGGCTGATAAATACCTTTTTATTCATAGTTTATGAAATATGAAGTAAGTATATAAGAAAAATTTTGTCTTGATTTATATAAAATGTGTTCATATAAGTGATGGAGGTTGAAACCAAAATTAATTAAAATGCCAGAGCAAAAACTCTTGAATATAATAATCATTATAATTATTTATAAAACTAAAAATTAAAATGATTATTTAAGTTTACAAAGAAAAATTAAAACTTACTACTTCCGCTAACATCATTAAAATTACTTAAAATTAAAGTTACTATCCCTAGTATTCTTGTAAAAAAAAAAAAAACTCATATATGTTAATATAAGAGATATTAAATTTTTAATTTGGATAGATTATAAAAATTAGTTAAACTAATTATTATTTGTAATAAATATGGGTTGATTTTTTTAAAATACCCTTTTAATTCATAACTATACTTGAATGGAAATCTCTTAATATGTGCAATCAATAATAATACTTTAGATAATGAATTATTAATTTATAAGACAAAACGGATTGAAATTTTATATACTACCTCCGATCCTTAATATAAGACCCTGTTTGACTTTTAGTTTAGTCCTAAATATAAGACCCCAATCTACTTTGTCTCTCATATTTATTCAATTTTTTCCAAGATAGTCATTCTAATAATTATAGTTCTAATCAATACACTTGATGAGCAATGATATTTTAGGAAAGACAACACCTATTTAGGACAAATAACTAACTCAACTTATTTTCTTAATCTCCTCAAATTAGTCAACTGACTCTTATAATTAGGATCAGAGGTAGTATAAAGGTAAATCCTACGCTTAATTAATTTTATATTAAAGATTGGAGGTAGTATATAATAACACGCACATACAACTTACTAATATATATGATGATGGGATTTGCTTGCAACGTTTTATACTTTTATCTCCAAGAGTGACAACAAAGTCACTGGACCAGTGACCCAACCCCATTGCTGTATGATTTTTTTAAAAAATATTTTCTCACAAATCAAGATAAATTTTTAAAATTATAATTTAGTTATCCAAACACTTAAAATATAAAAATATTTATCTTTAAAATTCTATCCTTGCATCAGCGGCGTGAGAAGGAAAATTAGAGGTAAGGAATACAGATTCATCGCTTTCTTACGCAATGATTTCTGTTTTTTTGTTTGTTTGTTTGGCCAACAATTTCTTGTTTCTTCATATAAACAAATATTCCACAGTAGTTTTCATATTGAAGTGTATATATTTATTAAATATTTGGGTCAAATATAAGTATCTCCCCGAAGGGACTGGAACCCAAAAAGGGAGGAAAAAATAATATTCTCCCTGAAAAAAAATTCAGGCAGAAAAAGGGGGAAAAATGAGACATCCCCTGTGCTTAGTCATGGTCCTCGTCACTGGTAGCTTCCCATTCCATTTTTCTGATTCGATTTTTTTAAGGGAGCAAGGTCGTCACTCGGTCCTCCTCTCGCTTTCTATCTTCCTCTCCTCTGGAGTGTTTCTGCTTTCAAAATTCAATCACCGGCGCTCCCGTCCTTCTCAGGCACGCAGACGCATGCGTACACGTTTTGAAGCGCACTTCAGACTCACACTGACATTGACATTCATTCATATCCGTGGTTTTTGCGGGAACGTCAGGGTCCTGCTCTGAGATCTGATCTTGGTTTTCTCGTAAATCAGAGTTTCTTCTTCTGATTTGATTACTATTGATGCAGTAAGTGCACTCTGCTTGTCCTTCTCGGCGCAATCACAGCATGGGTTTAGTGTTCACCAGATTGTTTTCTTCCCTCTTCGGTAACAAGGAAGCTAGAATCCTTGTTCTTGGCCTCGACAATGCAGGAAAAACCACAATTCTCTGTATGCATCCAAACTCTCTGCTTACCATGATCAAACCTTTCTGTCTTCGTTTCAAGAATATTGACCTTTTTTTTATTGTTATTGCTGTCATACCTTTTCAGATCGGCTTCAAATGGGCGAAGTTGTCTCCACCATACCAAGTTGGCACCCTTTCTTGTTTTATGATTATCAAATCTAATCATCTCCATTCTGTGTGTTTAATAGTTTTCATTTATTGCTGATCTGCTAGAGCTTCTGTGAAGATAGCAGGCTATATAATTTTGACTCTTAACTTCTGCTGTTTTGGTCGCCGTTGGATCTTCTTGGAAGTCATTTTGTATAAGGCAAATCACTCTGTTGGGAATATCGTGTGATTATATTGTGTTCCTCATATTTCATTGTTCAAGATATTGGAACATTTCTGAATCTGAATTTTGGTGTGAACATTTGGATGTGTGCACTGCATACTGCATACTTGAAGTGTTTACAGCACTAACGTGTTTATGCTCTTTGATATTTCCTTTATGGTAAACGACTGATTGATTTAATGATTGGATGCAGCAATTGGGTTTAACGTTGAAACAGTGCAATATAACAACATTAAGTTTCAAGTTTGGGATTTAGGTAAGCACTCTACCTAGACCTAGTTTTGTGTATATTCTGTGGTGGCATCTAATTTCATTGCAATTGTCATACCACACGTATTTAAAATAAAAGAGATAATCTAATATCATTGGTTGATAACGGAAAGTTGTGGAAATTACAATTGCTCTGACATCTTTACATCATTTAACCAGTGATCCCTCAGTTACTACATGTTCACATATGTATCTTAACGTCTAAATGAATGGTTAACACAATGAATAAGTCATATGGTTTTCTAGCTCCTAAATTTGTATCCTAATGAAATCTCCTGGTATTTCTTTACCTAATTGACTATATCACATTTGTATGGCATTTCTCTGTATGTGGTTAATTCAAGCAAGCACACAGGGACCCATGTTCGCCGCAAAATCTTTTCTGCTCTTAAATTAAAGCTCACAAGTTTAGCACCAAATACAGTGAGAAGATGAGATAATTTTGCTCTCTTTCTATGATGTTTATGCGCACTTTTGTGCATATGTGCTGCCACCTTTGAATGTTAAAGGAGTCATTTTGGCACATTTCTATCTTGATTCATGTTGATCCTTGAGGATTTTCTTGCATCTATGCACTGAGGAAATAAACCCCCTCTCTGAGTCGGTTTAGGGACGTTTGTACCTCCATTTGTTATATTTTATCCTTCCCAATTTGTGAGCTTGCAATTGCTGGGAAATTAACATGTTTTAATCAAATAGCAGTTATTTCAATTTCTTATACTGATAGTGTATCTTTGTTGAAACAGGTGGGCAAACAAGTATCAGGTAACACTTGGCTTTAGATTTGTTTAAATATATTGATTTAAGATTTGTTTTTCTTTTCATATCCCTGCTTCGTCTTCTTCTTCTTGGGTTTTTTTGCCCCTCCCTCTTATAAGATAATAGTTTGTAAGCTTTGAGATTTGTTTCCACTCTATACTGCTGTGCTCTTTTTCTTTTTCCCTTTCATTTTATGTACTATAATCATGCCCAACTGACATATTGTTGTGACTCTGGGTTAGTACGTGAAGTTATTTTAGAGGATTTTACAATTTATTCACATTCATTGCTATGATATGATACAATACACGATGCAACTTCTTTGATTGAGATAAAAGACATGAGGGGCTGTAAGGTTGTTCCTGATCACTGGGCAATACAATAAACAAACAATTTTAGGAAAAATTAGGTTTTAATGAAACATGTAAGATATTCAGACCTACTATATATTCTTACCAAGCAGCAACTTTAAATAAACAAGATTATCACTCATCAATCTATTGTTTGGTTGGTCCCGGCATTATTATGATGTCAGTATATGTGTTGGTTGTGGTCAATGATGTTGGCATTATCTGAATACTGAACTAAAGCTCATTTTGCTGGGATAGATCAGATGAATCCTTATGCGGCAATAAACATGTATGCTTCCTGCAATGTAAATATCTAAACAAATGAATAATAAATGAAGGAAAGCATTTCAAAATGGAAGGAATGGTAGGTTATGCTCACTGTTGTCAATGTAGTTAACAATAAAGTAAATACGTCCAATTCCCCAAAGGCTTATAAAACCTCTATCCTCACCCTCAATGGTTTCAAATATTAGCAGCTGAATATGGTGAAACACCATTTTGCATTTTGATGGTCAGAGATGTGCAATTAGAGCAAGAGTGAGGTGGATACAGCTTCTAGAGATGTACTAAACCAACCACCATTTTCACTGCCCTGGGACGTAGTTTTGATGAAAGGGAACCAAATTAAAAAATTTTATGACTATAATTGACCAATTAGAACTTTCAAATTATTGGGGCCTGATCAGAAATTAAGAGGGTGTTTGGGTAAGAACAAAGCCATAGTTTCAGAAATGCTTTTACGGTATACGAAGTAAATATGTGGAGGAGTTTGTCTTGATCTGCGAAAAAGTGCTTCTGAAAAGTGATTATGGGGTGTTCCAAACACCTCCTAAGTAAACCTTCAAAACTCAATTCACGATTCTTCCAGTGTCTCAGGCCTGTAGGCTGGAGTAGCTTGGACATTTTGGAAGAGGTATAAGGTCTGTTGGTAATCTTATAACACGGAAGATTAAGATTCTGAAACCAAAGGAGTTTGCTTAGAAATTTCTGGGCAGGGCTAATGTAATTTACTCTTCAAGATTATATGTATGAACAAGAAAGAGGAAGAAACTTTGGTTTACGACCCAATGTCACACATTTATAATTTCATTGGAATTGTAGACTAACCCTTTTTGAAATTAAAGTAGCAGAAAATTTAAAACAAGCCTACAATTAATACTGAAACGCATTGCGGATTTAATTTGAGTTATGAATGGGTTAACAACATACCAGAGAAAATTTATCTTTTACACGTTTGCATGCGGTCTTTTATTCCTAAGCTCTTGATTGTTGAAAGTGAACTTTCTATTATTTTAATGTGTTACAACTTTCTTTGATTTCCATTGCATAGGCCATATTGGAGGTGCTACTTTCCAAATACTCAAGCAATAATCTATGTTGTTGATTCAAGTGACACTGACAGACTGGTGATAGCTAAAGAAGAATTTCATGCAGTTCTTGAGGTATGCTATACTTGGTTTATGTTCCACACGTGCAGCATTTCTCTATGATGTCAACTCTTGCCTTCAATCTTCTTATCAGTATTTAGTGCTAATGGGCTTAAGAATTCTGGAAAATTTGTAGTTCATGGAAGTAGATATTCGTAGTGCACAAAAGTAGCTGTCTCTATGTGTTTATTAGTGTTGAAGACGCTGAAATTCTTATTTTATACCAAAACAGATGCTATGATACGTAGCGGTGGTAGACGACAGAAAATTAAATGATCAACTTTACCATAAAAGGAAATAAACATATAATTAAAAAGGAAACATGAAATAACATGCTTAAAGGTGATGGCAACACACTGTCTCAAGGAGTAAAAAAAATCATCTTCTTAAGAACCGGAACAAATATTCCATAATACTTGATGTGGAATTTTGGCATTCCATCCCGCCCAATTCCTATTAAAGGATAGTAGAGCACGTTGAGTGTGAAATAAACATGCTGTAATACATAGTCTCAGGAAATATGAAATAAAAAAGGAACATAATAGGAATTGGGCGGAATGGAGTGCCTAAGTTACACATCAAGTATTATGGAATGTTTGGAGTAGTTCTTGAGATGATTTTTCACTCCTTGAGACAGTGTGTTACTGTCGCCTCCTTGAGTCTACCAGTTGATTTCAGAGCTGGTTAGTCATTGGCACTTTATAATGGAGGTGATCAACAAGAAGCTAGAGTGAAGAGTTGCGCTAAGACATCATCTCTTGAGGGGCAGTTCTATGCTCGTGACTTGGTGCTTAGTATGGGACATCTAAGTTTCACATTGAGTAATATGTAACTATGAAGTGTTCGGTGTGGTGCTCAATGAGAATGGTTCAACGTTGTTGAAAATGCGCTTTTACCAGGAAGAATTTCACCATGAAACTTCTTTCTCCAAAACACAAGTTGCAACACATAGACGAGCAAGCCACAAAAGTTGACCTAATCAATCCTCAACTTAAAAAAGAATAATAAACATGCTACATAAAGCCTGATGAAACAGGAATAAAAAAGGGAAACAAAACACTTCGGTTCCAACCACGATATACAATCATGATTGGGCCAGAGAATCATGTCTCATTAACAGCGCATATCCGATTGGTTCTTCCCAAGAATTTTAGGATGCCAACAAGTGGAAATAGAGTCTAACAAGCATGAATAGGAGTTGTGGGTGCATCCGTATGTGCATGCCTACATGCACGCCTGACTTTTATGGTAAAACTAAAACAAACATTGCGTATCCAAGTAATTTTTCTAGACATTTTCGTTATAATTTGTCATACTTTAGGTGGTTAAAAAAGAAAAAAAAATTATTGTGCATTACCATGTATTCTCTCTCCCACTCTGACATAGGCTCTTTCTTTTCCCCCCTTCTCCCCTCCAACCCCCCCCCCCCAAAAAAAAAAGAGGGGAAAAGAAAAGAAAAATTACCAAAACCAATTTCTTAGTTTCTTCTTTCCCCTCCCGTCTAATGCTTGCTTAATCTTTGTGCATGAAGGCAAATAGCAACCAAACTGGGCCATGGTACGAGCATAAGAATGGGATTCTGTTTTTGTACTAAGAAGCTCTGTAGTAATTGACGTGGGATTTTCTGGTTGAGTCTATTTCTGACAAGAGCTCAAGGATATTATTAATTGATTTGTGTGCTTGATTAACATTGTTACCCAAATATGATATACATGACTTCTATTAGTAATTTAGTCATTTACATTTGAAGTGTTGGAGAGATCACTGGTAAGGATCTTAGCAGAGCATCATGTGGTATGATATGAGATAGAGAGTTTGCAAAAAGAATATTTATATTTTTTCTAATAACAGTGTTCAAGAGTTATCATCAAACTTTGTGCCCCTTTTATATGGAAAAAATGGGTAATGAGTTTATCCCCCTCTTATATGGAAAAATATGGGTAATGAGTTCTAACTTCAAATGTAGAGATTGTTACCTTTACTGCATCAATGAGTAGGTTAGCAATCCCAAGACATGTATTAACAATTAGAATGAGAAATTTCAAGCACTAATATCAACTTCTTCTTCAACTATCACATTATGCATCTAAGCTTGGAGGAGTCTTATAGCAGTATTTCCCCCTGTAACATGTGTTACTGTCCTGCTTATCACTTTTATTTATTCTATTTAACATTAGCGACTATCACGAAGGAGTGCTCGTTCTTGGTTGAAAGACTATCAAGCAAATAACAGTACTGCATGAGTAATTTCAGCTTGGCAATATTGAGTGCTATGGTGCTTAGTTTGTGTAGCTGAGAAATGCAATACCGGTACACAATTACATTCACCGCACTGGTCAATATCATCTTTAAGTTAATGTGAAAATGTAAATTCATACATTTTTTAGTGGATACTCTTTGGACATAATTGTGGATTATAATTCCTATGTTGGGATATATTTTTTTCTTGTTTCCTGGCGTCCTTTCCCACTAGTCTACGTGACTGGTTAGGTTGCTTGTGGTTGCAATTTACAAGCTTATTGAAGTATGACTAATCACTTTATGGGATCATTTTTGTCAGGAGGAAGAACTAAAAGGTGCAGTTGTTCTCATTTTTGCCAACAAACAGGTCTGAACTTCATCTTGGTCTTAGCTTGTACAACTCTGCTATCCAAGGAACATAGAAAACATTTAAATGGGTTAGAAAGCTGATAGTATTGGTGAAAATCCTTGCTTTGTTAAAAATATATTTCTATTAAATTCTTATTTTCTTTTCTAATTTTCTCTCCCTGTACAGGACCTTCCCGGTGCCCTTGATGCTGCTGCAGTGACTGAGGCTTTAGAATTACACAAGATCAAAAACCGCCAATGGTCTATTTTTAAAGCTTCTGCCATAAAAGGTGAAGGGCTTTTTGAGGGCCTGGATTGGTAAGTCCAATAAACTTAAGTAATACTCCCTCCGTACCTTATTATAAGAGACAAATAATCGAAGTACGTTGATAAAACAGTTATTAGTTAAGAAGAATTTGTGTAAAAAGTATAATTTTTTTCCAAAAACGCCCTCATTAATAAAGAGAGAGAGCATGAGAGAGAATAATAAATTATTAAAGAAGAGAAGTGGGAGGGAGAGAGAGTGTGAGTTGGAGATAATAAATATGGGTAAAATAGTAAACCAACACAAAAAAATAGAGACAACATGTAAGTATCTCTTATATATAGGAACATACCATAAGCATCAAATGTCTCTTATAATAAGGAACGGAGGGAGTACTATCTGTTTTGATTTTTTTTTCCTTCTTTTTAACCAACAATAGTTTGTAACTTGCATTAAGTACAACCTGTTTTGAACTTGTAAGATACAAATTGATAGAATTTAGTCTACAAGTCTGAGTCCTTCTATGAGTTGAATTTGGAATTATGAATGGAATGAGATACCTGGTAATATGTCTTGTACCACCCCGTTGAAAGTACTGTAATTGGCATCTTGAAGGAGTATTCAAATACAATTTGCTTATAGATGAAACAAATGGTTTATGGATAACATACATTCCCTGGCAGAAAATGTAAGGGCAAGTTTACCTTCTTCAGAAAATATCGTAGCGCTTGCAGGGAGCATATCAAATGAAAGTAGTCTGTCTTAAATGAGAGGAGTAAGTACCATTAGGGTGGTTTGTTGAATTTAAGGACGATAAAAAAATAAAAATCGTTTTGTAAGATAAATGGAAATGTCAACTTGAAGAAAGATATGTCAATGACTTAATTTGCTTTATTTATTTATTTTCCCTTCTGTTGCTTCTTTCTTTCCTTTTTCTGGTTGCACTTTTTGGCTTGTTATCTCGTGGTGTTAATGTATGAGCTGCCTGTGTGCGTAGGTTGAGTAATGCGCTCAAATCTGGAGGTGGCTAAGCTTCAAAGAGTCTGATGAACTTGGACTCGAGAATTAACGGAAAGGTTGACATATGCACTCGGTATGACTTTCACATGAGCGATCGATTTCTTGACACTACGATGGTCATTCATTACTCGTATACATGTATTTTATCATCTTCCCTATTTTATCTACTTGTGGTGAAGCCGTGAAGGTTTGGACATTGATCAGTGGTTTATTTTTGGGCCTCTTAACATAAATTCTTTTCTGACATGCGTAATCGACATTTGTGGAACCGTTACTTATGCGCTGTTCTGCACCGTATCCCTACTGGAGAACCAAAATTCATTTCATCTTTACTTTTCTTCATTAAATTTCATATGGTGTTTGCCATATGCCCAGGTAATCCATACGAAACTGTACAATGTTTGGAAAGATGTTTTTTGTTTATGGGATAGAGCCTTTTATTTTATTTTTATTTTTTTTTTGCTTTTTCTTTTTCTTTTCCCCATTTTGTACCGAATCATCAAGTATGGTTAAGCCAGCGAAGATTCCAAATATTTAGTCAATTTTTTTTTGTCCAAAAATATGAAGCAATTTGGCCGCTTTAGCCATACGGTTTGATTCTTGTGGGTTATTCTTCGTTCATGGAGAATAAACAAATATAGTACGCTTTGTCCTTGTGTCAAACGCAATTAAATTGTATGCCATTTCATGTCGAAAATCAATGAATATGTATTACAATTGACCGATGATTTACCCTCTTCCATTCTTTTTATAAGAAACAAATAAGTAATTCATCAAAATTAATAAGATATAATCCATTTCAACTTTTGTATTTATTATTATTTTTTGAACTAATTTAAGGAATTTATAAATTGATATAAAATTTAATGTTATATAGAAGTATTTTAAGTAGATTATGTTACATTTATGCCATTAACTATTTTATTTGACTTTCTTGATCTACTTAAGTAGATTTTTATATTAAAAACTATAGATAATAGTTAAAATCAACAAATTTGTTAGGAATGTGAATTTCTTTCCAAAAATATCCTCATTTTTGTAGTTCACTGGTTACTAATAGAAAGTGAAAAAAAATTGTAATAAAATATCGTAAACAAGTCCTCCAAAGATTTTCTTATATTGTTGTATCAAGAAAAAATTATTGTTATTTCTGAAGCTCAGGCCCAAATATTCATTATTAGGGCGAGTAACTTTTCCACCCTTAGACCAATATCTTATTCAATTCTGCCCTTCCAGAGCTGCATATGCAATATGTCTTTTAACTTCTAATCTAATAAATTTAGACAACATGTTTAAAACAAGACAAATGAAAAGAAAATAAGTAAAGGATGAGGCAGCTGAGTGGGAGACCTGATTCTGATTCTGATTTAGTTTCTAGATTACACATGAATATAATAATATTTCATCATCTTTTCTGCTTTCCTTTTCCCACTTCTATCTTTTGCCTTGTGCATGAATCTTATGCTTCTGGGGCCCTTTAAGAACTGCTGACATAGTCAATTTGGAGCCTCCACTCAATGGAAAATGAAAGTGCAATTATATACTAGCTTCGGTCTTAATTATAAGAGCCAGTTGACTAATTTGAGGAGATTAAGAAAGTAAGTTGAGTTAGTTATTTGTCCTAAATAGGTATTGTCTTTTCTAAAATATCCTTACTAATCAAGTGTATTAACTAGAATTATAATTATTAGAAGGACTATCTTGGAAAAAAATTAAGTAAATATAAGAGATAAGGTGGATTGAGGTCTTATATTTAGGATTAAAATAAAAATCAAACAGGGTCTTATATTAAAGATTGGAGATAGTATTTTGATAAACATTCTCATTTTTACCTTAAAATGAGATCTCAGCCGCTCCATCCATCACAATACGTAAAATGAATCCTACTTTCGTTATAGCAATATACCCCATTCATACTGTCGTTTGTTATTCACATTGGACGAGGATAGGTATCACATCGCTCTCATTTTGACCCCATGGTATTGTATGAGTAGAAGGTTATGAATTTGATCCCCTTGTTACCCTATTATATTTGTAACCTTGAGCCGTTATGTTCCATTTAGATGAGAGAAAAAAGTTGGAAAAAAAGGAAAATTGGAGTGATAATATTATTACTCCTTTTATTTGAATAGACGAGAGAAAACATTAGAAAAAGAAAAAGAAAATGAGAAGTTATATTTTTGAAAAATATTCCCATTTTTATTTTAAAATGACTCATGTTTGTTATAGGAATCCCCTCCAACCCATATCATACAATGTGTCATTTTAAAATGATTAGTGTCCATTATGGATATCTACTCATGTGCATGGTCATTTGTCATTACATGGACGAAGATAGGCATCCCATCGCTCTCATTTTATTAGTAGTTATGTGGTTAGTAACATGGAAACTTTTTTATAAGGGAGATGTCACGGGTTTAATCCAATATATGAGTTTGATCTCATTTATAATTTTAGGTTCTCTCATTTTCCTCTCTCTGCTTTTTTTTTTTTTCCAAAATCTCACATCCATATCTAAATAAAGAGTGGATGATTTAGATTTAATTTTTTTTAAAATTATAATTATAAACAAATATAAAATTAAACTATTAAAGTTTGAGATGCACGGTTCAAAATTGCATTATGAAAATATATTTAAAAAATAATTCATAAAATATTATAATGATAGTTTTATAAAATATTAAATCTGAACTTCTTTTTTTTTTTTTCAAGTTTTAAGAGAGGATGAGATTCAGCAGAAAGAAGAAGAAAACACGGTCTGCTTTTTCATTAAAAAATATGGGGAAGAAATTAAAATGTGCGCGGATAAATTGAGAGGGCTGAGACGTGCAGGATCGTATGGTATTCACTGTGTTTGTTTGCCAATTAATTTTCGGATTTAAGATTAACAATAAACGTGTTCACATGTGATTACTTTATTTCATACTATGTGAAAACGTGAATTAATAGCTAATTAAGATTCGCATTGAATGATGATGACGTGATTGCTTGTTGTTGGAGGCCACTGATTAAGTTGTGTTTATTATTAATCCAAGTGATTAATCTGGGATTGTATCTCATCAGAGTCATCAGAGGTTTCAGTCAGCATAAGAAATTGTGTCGAAGAACCCATGAGTTTCAGAGACATTAAATTAGCGGGTCACATGTGGGTCCCAGTGGTACGATGAGATTGGGCCAAAACTTGTTTATCACGTGGAGGAAGATAACTAATTTATTAATATTTAAAAAATTAGTTAAGATAATTATTTATAATAAATAAATATTATTTTTTTAAAAAATAATTTTGTTAATAATGTGAATTAAAAATCCTATTTTGAAAAAAAAATAAATATGTCAGATAAGGCTAATTAGAATTTTACTCTTCTGATCCTATTTATAAGTCATTTCCAGTATGTTTGACACAGATAAAAAAAAACTTTAAACTTCATTAACTCTTATTTAAAATTCAACAACTTTTTAACTTTATTTCTATTTAATATACATTATACCTTATATAAACAAAGTCAACGTAATAATAAATAAAGTATAAAATTATACATCTATATAAAAAATTTCTCTTAATGCCCTATAAATAGGATAAAAAAAGTCTTCTTTCTCTACCTTATAAATAGGACTAGAGGAGTATACTCCTATGATCTCATTTATAAGTTACTTTCAACATATTTCATATAGACCAAGAAAAACTTTAAACATGATCAACTCTCTTGTAAAATTTAGCAACTTTTTAATTTTATCTTTATTTAATATATATAATATCTCATATAAATAAAAATCAACACAATAATAAATTAAGAGTAAAATTTTACATCTATATAAAAAATTTCTTTTATTACCCTATAAATGGGACCAAAAAAATATCTTTTTTCTATTCTATAAATAGGATTAAAAGAATATTTATTTAGGATTAAATTGAACATCTAACTAACTCTTTAAACAAGAGTAGTATTCTTTCGGTACTAAATATAAGATACACTTTATAGTATAAATTACACTATAAAGTAAATCTTATATTTAGTATTTAGTATATTTAGCAGAGACAAAAGAGTATTACTCCCTCCGTCTCTTATTATAAGATTTAATTTTTTGAATATGTTTGTCCTTTTTTTATAAGACTTTTTTTTTAGTTTTTTCTGAAAATTTAATACATTAGTACTTATTTTACTCCTAATTTAATGCATTTAATACATTATCTTTCTTCATTTATTTCACTATTACTCCATCATATCTACCTGTTTATATATGGATATATTTAAAAAAATTATATTTGTTACATATTAATTATTTTTAACTAATTTTAATTATTTTTTAAGTCGTAATATAATAAAGATAGAATGATATTTTGTTTGTATATTTTAATTCTCATCCCCCCACGTAGAAAGGAAACCAGAACTGTTCCTTTCAAGGCATTGGTACATTTATTTGCGCTTGGCGTGTTCTGCGTTTGCCCAATTTCAGTACCTTCATATGATAGTTCCCACGTGCCACGTACTCACATCGCTTCCTTCCTCCTACCTTCGTTCTACAAAGTCTTATTCATACTTGTTTGGGATGATAATTAGACCCTTCAAAAATATATTATTTTTTTATAAAAGCAAATAGTATTATTTAATTTCATATTTTTATTTCTCCGCTCAAACGGTAAAATTAGGAATTGATTAAAAGCACCCTACAACTTCGCAACGCTTTTTTATTCAACCAAATGATATCCTTGTTATCATAAAATTTAATACTTCCATTGAATCTCATATATAAGATAATTTTCCTAGAAATAATAATAACTTGTCTGAAATTTTTAATATTTTTTATTTTTTTCCTTTTTGGTTATTAGTTAGTCTTATTGCATTATTCACGCTCACCTTTTCACTCTCTGTGAATAAGAGTGTTTCTGAAAAATGAGTTACATTTTTTTTTTTACACATGTATCATTTTTAACTAATTTTTTTATCCATCTAATTTAGTTAGTTTTGTCTTATTAATTAAAAGTATAAGTGTTGTGATCATGAGAATGCATGTGTGTGTGTCAGTGTGTGCGGGTGATAATTACATGGGCGTATGTTTACGTTTTTCGCTGAAAAAAATGCTTAGGTCTTTTATATCAAGTTGGCAAGATCAATCCATCTTCTTCTGTATCTATGCTTAAAAATATAATATTTAGATAACTAATTTAAAAATATTAAAAAAATTAATTATGTTAATTATTTGTCATATAGGTGTTGTCTTTTCTGAAATATTTTCATTAATCATGTGTATTAGAATAAAAATCATTTAACATGATTATCAGGAAGACTAATGTGAAAAAAATAAATATAAAAAAAATAAATTGAGATTTTGTATTTAAAGTTAAATTAAATTTTTAATTAGTTTTTATATTTAGGATGGAGGTAGTAATACTTTTCAGCAGCATAGAAAATTCAAGAATTGCTGGAATTT